ATATATATATATATATTTATATATATATATATACATATATATATGTACAATATATATTGTATATATATGTATATATACAACAGCCTGGTCACGGTTGCGTGATTTTCACGCAACGGCGCGGCATCCCGTGAGTGGAGGAATATTCTCATCCATCAGGGCAGGATACTACGTACGCGACATTAGCAGCACTTAACGTACACGAAGCTCTGATTCAGATGACGGAACAGCTCAATAACGAAACCTTCCATCACAGGACGACACTAATGCGGTGAGAAATAATTGGATTTTCCGTAAGTCTGTTGCAGATGATCTAATCGACGCCCTAAACGATGCGCTGCGGAAACGACTACACTGTTCTTGATTGGGGAGGATCGACGATCACATCTGGAATTCTAGGATCAATACAACGAAGGATATATCTCGATAGTACGGACCATCAGAAAAGATTCACTCGTATCAATCCCGACAGCTCTCTACGAGATCTTCTAAGAGGCACGGTTGGTGAGTAAATACGACTATTAAACGCGGATAGGCTACACCGTTCGCGGACCAAGGATTAGTGGAGACATTAGGAATAGATTGCCGATTTGCACGGATCCCCATGGTTCTCCCTTAGGATTAGAAAGGATTACGCGCGGGTTAGGCCTACGATCCGATCGAGATTCCGATGTTCGTGGAGAGATTGGGAGCGTATCGGGATAATGACCTCGACGTAGAACATTCCGACACGGCGCCACTTTTCTCTTCCTTCTCTTCGTCCTTTTGCCTGTCTCGCTTGCTCCGTTTCCTCAGCATCCGTTCGTGCGGATAAGGAAATTATGGGATCGTCCGATTTCTTCTATGCTATTTGTTTAATCGCTCGACTTCCCATCTATCGATTGCCACGTATGTACGCATTCTTGTCGAGAAGATTCATCCATTGCTCATTCTTTTATTTTTATATTGTATGTTTTCCAAGCAACAAAACAATCGATCGAAGTAAACAATTCGATACAGATGTTTTATTAATTATTAATATATAAAAATGCATAAGGTGTACTATTTCATCATCTTAAGTATATAATAGATATAATCTTTGCAAAAAGTGATTGAAATTGTAAATTTATACTTTACTATAAAAATGAATGACATACACGCATGAAATATTCAATAAGATTAACATTTATATTTAATGAATACAGTTTTATTTTAAATGAAAATTTTTCAATTTTATCTTAATTATTTTTTAAAAACACGTATACTTCTTAGTGAAATAATACAAATTTTAAATCGCTACCAAACTTGTTGTATTACTTTCAC